ATGGCCTGGAGCAGGGTATATTTTTGTGGTTTTAGGGATGTCTTCAAGATGAGTAACCTATGATGTGGATGTGGGTGTGTATTCCTATTGTCTGTCAGGTTACCCTTCTGACAGGTTATGTTAGAATAAAAATATGTACCTATGTTACACCTAGTGAGAAAGAACCAACCAGAGACCGATATTAAATCCACACAGGAGTTTATTATGGGCTGGGACCTGATTCGAGCATCAGACTCGAGCCCCAACTCGGGGGAGACAAACATGTTTTATACACCTTTGAAGCCAAGAGTTTCTAGGCCCCCCTATGGGATAGAACTAGCAAAGCAAGCAAAAGGTACAGAAGCGGAACATCCTGCCTTTAGAACATTTGTAAAACAATAGTTGATTAATTGTTGTTTCTAAAAGACTTTCTAAGGGGAGGAGGCTTCTAAGCTTCCTCCTTTTAAATTCATCTAAAGGGCAGGCAGGTGGGTTGTTCAACAGCAATATGGAGTCTGTTTTGCTAACTAGGGTCCTTCACCTATGTTTAAAACTGAGATTTTTGGCCACCTAACAATGCCTTTCTTCAAGATGAAGGTCAGTGTTTCACAATTAAGAGGCAAAAAGCCCAAGACCACAGCCCAGTTTACAAGCTTATCGTATCTTTTAGAGCCTTAAGATGTTTTCTTTTTTTTTCTTTTTTCAGAGAGTTTCCTGAAACAAGTTTTGAGTAATGATTATATCCTGAAGCTACACTTGCTCTTAAAAGTATAATTTTAAAATTAGGATTTCTCTTGTTTTTTTTTTACTTACCTTTATTTTTATCTTATGTTAAATTTAACTGAATTGTAATATTTAATGCATCCTTAAATCTGAATGTTTGTGTTTGTATTTACGTGGTTGAATAAGGGATAGCTTTGTATGAAATAATATGAATAATCAGTGATAGTAGTTTCAATTAAGAGTATATTCATGTTGCCTACTCAAATCCCAGTCCCTGTTGGGTGAACAGGATCAGGATCATGTAATCTTGCAAGGTCCTCCACTTTTCATTTCTGATAATTAGAGTAAGGAAACCCCCTACCAATGACAAGCAAGCTATGTATCAGCCACTGATGGAATGATAGCCTAGCTTAATCAGAGAGTTGTGGAAAGATAAATAGAGTTGATTAGAACAAAGTCGATACTGTTTATTGCAACTAAGAAATAAAACCAAAGTCATGCTCATTAGTTAGCAAATGAAGAAAGTATGAAGTGAAACAGAGGTAGGGAGAAAGCAAGAAAAGGCAGCAGAAGAGGATAAGTGAAGAGATTTTTTTAAGAGATGAAGAAAAACAAGGGTATTACAGCACCTGAGAGAAAGAGAAGACTTTCTTACCATTTAATAATGACAAATCCAGTTAAGGAGATTTGGACTTTTGCTCTGTCTGTAGATTAACAGGAAGAGTGTGGGACTGGCTCAGCTTCTCTGCCCTAGGAGCGTGGGATGGTGCGGGGGGAGCTTTCTTCCAGGTGCTGGGACTGGCTCAGCTTCTCTTGAAAGAGAGAGCGAGAGAGTGTGTTTGTGTGTGTGCATGTGTGTGTCTGTAACTGATTTCTTTTCAACTGACATTCTGGTTTCTAAAGCCAAAGGGAGACCATCAAAAACAGTATTTATAACTATAGCACAGATCTGAGAACTAATGAGAATCTTTCCTTTGCCTTAGAAAGTTATGAATGACCAGAGCTCTTAGCTGAGAACAGAGTCTAATTTTGTCTTATTCTAATTCCGGACCATTTATAACTGTAGGAAGCAACACCTTCTTGCAGGGCCAACAGATAACTGTCACTATGCCCAAACTGGTATAACTAACCTTTACACATATTAACAAAGAAGGTTTATGAGAAGATGAAATTATCTCTTGGGAAAGAGTGTCTAGATTGTCACTGTCAGCATTCTCTTTCTCTTTGTGTGAATGTGTATGGGAGACAAGTTTTATGCCGGTTCCTACTTCTTGTCTTTTCAATGGTGATGAGATTACTTACCCTGTCTTATTCCCTTATTTCACTAAATGAAGAAATGTCCCTTGTATGACAGCTCTCAAGTCACTGAACCACTAAGAAATTGTGAGTTGGCCTTTCTTAATGGTTGCGGCCAGTGGATATTAAGATATTTAGCCATAATTGGACTTGTTTCATTAATACAATGTGGGTAGAGATCAACATTTAAATTGCATCACCTAAAGTAAACATTGCCAAGTTTGTGTTTCAGCAAGAATTGCCCAAAATGATCAGCAAGAGGGTAATGGCTTAACTTCACAAATGTAATACTGAAAAAAATAGGTGCTACTCTGATTCCATACTCTTCTTTTGATGGTGGACAAGAGCACTAAATATGTGAGAATAGGACAATTAATGAAAGAGAGACAAAATGCAAACTCACTCCCAGAATCATCACCTGGTCCACTGCTTTTCAAAATAACACTTGAGCCATTTACATTAGTTTCTTAATGGGCTGCTGAAATGAAGACTGGTGAAAATTTCTGAAATCTTGAGTATTTTTGGCAGCTACTTCTCAGACAGAAGACTAGTATCTGGAACATATTAAGAACTCAAAAAAAAATAAACCACTTAAAATTAAAGATCCAGTCAAGAAATGGGCAAGAGAAATGAACAGACACTTTACAGAGGAAGAAATTCCAATGGTAAACAAATATTTGAAACAATGTTCAACATATCTGGCCATTAGACAAATGCATATTAACCCAATGTTAAGATTCCATCTTATTCCTGAAAGAATTCAATCATTAAGAAATCAACAATGAGAAATTCTGGCATGGCAGTGGTGAAAAAGAACTCTTCTTCATTGTTGGTGGGAATGCAAACTTGTACAACCATTCTGGAGATTTCTCAAATAACTGAAATTAGAAATTCCATATGATCCAGCTATCGCTCCTTCCAGGTATCTTCCCCAATACCTTAAGACAGCATACTACAGTGATGCAGGCATACTAATATTTATAGTAGCACAATTCATAATAGCTAAACTCTGGAAGCAGCCTGTATACCCATCAACAAATGACTGGATAAAAATATTCTGGTAAATGTATATAATGCAATACTACATGGCTATAAGGAATGACTCATTTGAGACATTTGTAGGAAAATGAATGCACCAGGAAAATAAAATGTTGAGTGAAATAAACCAGACACACAAGATTAAGTATAATATGGTGTCTCTCATTTGAGTGAAGTAAAGTACAAAGAGAGTAATAATGGCTGCATAGAAGAGGACAAGGGGATGGATTTACTGCAATAGGGAAGTGGTCCAAGGGAACAAAGATAAGGGGTGAGAAGGAAAGGAAGCAGAAATAAGTAAAATTAACATATCCCATATATAGGTACCTAACAACCTCAAAGATTGTAAACATTATGTGCCATAACATGAGATAAGATTAATAAAATCAACAGGAATGAAAATTGGGAGAGAGGAATTATAGGAGGGAGGGAAAGGAGGAAAGGACATTAAAAAAAAAAACAAGCTGTAATGTGTTCATGTACTCAATCCCCAAGATGATTGTAAACTACATGTACTGCAAACATGTAGTAATAAACTTTTTAAGAATTAAAAATTTAATATCATGATACTTCTCACTGGTCTTATGTACTATGAATATTAGGCATCCTTGTCCTATTCCTCATGGCTTTATCATGTAATACAATTTTAATTACTATTTTGTTACTAGATATTACTTTATTTTAACCATTAGATAAAGCTTTGTAAATATCATTTTAGCAGGATATCTCATCTACAGCCCAGGTTCCTGGAGTAACGGAGTATGTTGTTGGGAAACTGAAGAAAATACCCAGAGGCAACTTATGAAACATATTTATTAAAACAATCAAATGAAAGAGTAGAGTTAATTGAGAATTATTAGCAGAAAAGGAAACATCCAGTGACAGTAAGCTGAACTGGTTAAATGTCAGGGTCAGGTGGCTGTGGTCTATATAGACATATTATAGAGAGATATATCTCATTAATATGCATTTTTAATTGATTCTGCACTCACATAATCTATGTAGATATATATCCATATATATCCATATATCTATCTATATCTATAAATAGATAAATAGATATATCTCATGTATGTGACAGCTTTCTTAACTGTACATATAGAAAGTTAATCTATATCTACATAATCTATATCTATATCTACATTATCATATTCCTTTTATTCAATCAGACTTGGCAGATTTGATTAGCAGTTTTCTCACTGAGTCTTACTTTCCAGAGTGACTCTTAAGAATTCACTCACACTGATTTGAGGATGGTAGCATGCTCCCTACAGCCTTGCCATTCCCATTCCTTCTGCTTCTCTTCCTTGTGCTCCTCCTCCTCTCTTTGGAAAAATGTACTGTAAATTTAAGCTAAGGACGTATTGTGATGGCCACAAGCACAACCACAACTTCAGAAAAAAATAAATGTTCCAGTGCCTGAAATAAAACTGATCTGTTGTAGTCACTGTGATACTATTTTAACAATTTTCACAATGGTGTTAAAATACAAGAGTGCTATAAGCTCTTTTATAAGGATAAGATACTAATCTTGCAAATAATATTCTAGCTGCAAATACTCTTGCACCGAGAGCTACTTTTAACAAAGCAGCACAGCTGCAAAGCACTTTGGAGTTTAACTTCTAAGAAGAAACTAAGTCTTTGACTGGATAACTAATGAGCAGCTGTTATGAAGCGTAAACAACATAACCTTAATAGATTTTTTTTACAATAACACAGTTTCAAGTTTATATTTGATAAATTAGAAAATATTTAGAATACAAAAAGGTACAATATTGAGATAACAGATTTTAATGTTTGAATTCTTTGATGTTAAAACAAATGGTGAACAGATTATATGGTAATGCGGAAGATTTTTAAATACCTAGACTTTGATTGAGGGCTATTAATGAATAACTCTATAATATATGAAAAGAAAAAGTTTAACTTCAACAACCTGAAATTTATATATTTAATATTTACAGACATCCAATGACACCTTTGAAATTCCCCTCATGTTGACTGGAAATGTAGTGTTAAGGAAGAGGCTCAACTATGAAGATAAGACTCGGTACTTTGTCATCATCCAAGCCAATGTGAGTATTTAATTTCTTTTACTTTTTTTCCATGAACTTATGAAATAAAGAACACATCTGAATGTATTAAATGCTCTTTGAGTGTTTGATATGATTTATTTTCTCATTAGGGCCCTCTGACAGTGGTGAGATTTATATAATTTTCTAGATGGAAAAATAAATGGAAGAGGGTTGGGAATGAATTATTTTTATTCACTGTATTCTTTACCCTCTAAGTCACCCCCTAAAGTGCTACCAACACTCAATTTATGTTTTTAGCACCTATTGAAATATTTCTCAAAGTCTGAGCTACCAAAAGGCAGAAGCACTATCATGTTGGAGGCATATTTAAAATTCAGATATTCTGGATCTTATCTCAGAAGTTCTAAATAAAAATCTGAGAGGATTGAAGTGAACTATCATACTTCTATGGCTATATAAAATAGCTACATTTTTGCTGGATATGTAAAAATCACTTGCTTTTAGATTTCAACCTATGGAAAACAACTTTTCTTAAATAACCGCCATTCTGACCTCCTCTCCCTTCTGCTTTCTACTTATATATGGAATAAGTACTAATTTAAAACTGCTTTATTTATTTTTTTCATTTATTTTTGGTACTGGGGATCAAACTCAGAACCTTGGGCTTGCCAGGCAGGTGTGGCACCACTGAGCTACATCCCTGCTTCTTAAAGCTGCTTGTTTTTATTTCTTCCAGTGTTTTCAACATTTTCTGGAAAATAGGGATGGAAGGAAAGGTAGTGCCTCATGGCTTAAGGAAACAGAATATTTCGAATGTTAGAATAGTGGAGAGATGTAAAATATAATTGTATTCCATCACCTGATATGTATAAAAAATGAGAAAAATTACATAAACATCACTAACAAATTAAAAAATCTTTAAAAAAGACCCCATTTCTAAAATGATTTAAATTAAGGTAGTTTTGTTGCTCCTATTTTCTTTCCTTAAATACAGAAATATAATAGAATCAAGTTAGTAGGATTAATATTTAAAATTTCAACCAGTAATACTCCATCTATTACTGGTTAGCAGAAGCAAAAGAAATATTTCTCTCATTTCAGGTAAATGATTTAGGGTCAGACGACTCAGAGAAATTCTAAGTATGTTGCATTTTTTTTCTTTTTCTACTGCAAATACCTGATAAGTAATGAAATGGTATTTAATGTATGTATCTGCCCATGAGTTTGTTAAGTGCTTCTAGCCATTTTGGTAAACTATGAGCTACTTTAGCACTAAATATTTAAATTCTAGAAGTCTATTCTGAGCATTCTATGACACTGCCTTAAAAATAAATCAGAAAATAATCACATCTGTTCCAGATTCATTTTAAAATCAAGGTTTTTATAATTTCATTTATTTGAGTCCACATTTTTCCTAATCCCATCTGGCACAACCGACATTTGTTTAATACACTATTAATCATAAAGCAGATATTAAAATGATGCATATTAGCACTTGTTTCCAGTTTGATGAAAGAATAGTTAGCAATTTAACTATTTACAATAAGAAATTTTCAATTGAGATGAACTGTCACTTACCGCATAAAATTAGAAGTATTTATTCGCAGCATTACTACAGTTTACTTAAACGTATGTAAAGCAATGGTTTGTACAGAGAGTGCATTGTAACAATGAATTAGTTATATCTGATCTGTTTATAAAAAATAATTTTGGGGGCTCTACTAGGCACATACCTTGTTTTAAAAAATTCCATCTTTCTTGTAATGTACGGATGGAAATTTCAACCTATTTAGTAGAGCATTCATTAAAAACAGCATACCTTTGACAATGCAAGACATCATGTTACAATAGGACTCTGAAGTACACTGTAGTGAGTTGTACACTGTATTGCCATCACAGGGACCCAAAGTATTGAACATTCTACATCAATATGCTAAAAATTCAGGAATTGGGTCAATATATCCTCCCTGTGAGACCTTGACAGAGTTCTCCAGCAAGGTCAAATCCCACACTTTGTTAACTGTGGTTTTCTTGATTCTGACTTGAAGATAGGTATACATTTTTAAAACTCCCATAATTAGCTTTTATTATAGATTATTCTTTGTGTCACATGCAATTCCTTATGTTTAGCTAAGCTAACAATTGTCAGTGATTAATTTTTAAGAAAAAGTTTTCATGTTACTAAGTATTTAATGTTAAAAATAAATGATAGGGCTGGGGATTTAGCTCAGTGCTGCTGCTACCTGCCTCACAAGCACACAGTCCTGAGTTCAATCCATGGTACCAAAACAAAACAAAACAACAACAAAAAAGATCTATAAATGATGTATGAAATTACAAGATATGGTTGAGAAAAATGTCAAGTAAGCAGTTATATTCATCTATTTTGGATGCCATAGGAAAATACCAGTGACTAGGTGTTTTTACCAACAGAAATTTACTTTCTCACCAGTTTGGAATCTCGAAACCCCAAGATAAAAGTCTGGCAAGGTGTTTTTCTGGTGAGGGTTTTCTTCCTGGTTTACATAAAGCCATGCCTTCTATGTTCTCACATTGCCTTTCTTCAGTGGTCAAAATGGTCAGCTGGGGGTTTTGAAGGTGGAGCTCTCAAATTTCTCTTTAGATAAGGACATTACTAGTATTGTAGCCAGGCCTGTCCTTCTGATAACATTTATCCTTAAATTACTTATTTACATAGCTACACTGGGAGTTAGGGCAACATGAATTTTGGAGGACCATAATTTATTTCATACTATGGTTTAACTAGGATAATTTCAAAAGAGATTGTTTGTCAATTGCAATCATAGTTTTCTAAGACAATAAAATATCATCTTTCTTTAATGTTCTTAAAATTTTACAGTGTTACCTTGCTTTCTGAAAAAGGAAAGAAGGAAAATGGAGAGGAAAACTGAGAAAGTGATAGAAGGAAATTTTCTTGATAATTTTCACCATACAATGCATTTTCACTTAACAATGAATGAAAACTCAAAATTTGTTTTATTTATATCACTCACAATTTAGAATATTATATATTGCATTTTGCTGTTCTTGTTAGACCTTCAACAAACAAGATATTGATGTGCTTATGGGAACACATAAAAATGGCTCTCTAAAATGGCTAAGAAAGAGAGGTTAGATATAGTGCAGTGGACGTAGGAGGCTTCTATGGAAAGAACAAATCGGTTTTGAAGGGGAACAAGTAGGAGATAAGGAAATTTGTGATAACATTTTTGCATGCAGGTGAAATTGGTCCTCTTTATTTTTTCTCTATTCCCATAAAACTCCCTGCAAGATAATTCATGGTAGCCTCACTCCCACAAGTAGTTAATTTTAATGATCTAAGGGAAGGGCAGAGATTACTTTTCATCTGTTGAATCTCTAATGTATTGCATTTGAATAATTTCAACTCTTGGGATTTTGAATAGAAAATTAAAATTTAAACATTGCTTCTTGCTTTTCTCCATAATTTTATCATAATCTAGCTCATAATGTATCAAATGATCAAAAGAATAGTAGAATCACAAAGACAGTACATTGCCAATAAGGTTGTGCTTGGCAAAATTTCACCAATAGAGATTTCTTCTTTTTAAGCCTTTGCCTTAAATTATTTCTCTAAAACCACTCTTGATCAAACCATATTGGGAAAGAGCATAATTGGAATAAGTATCACCTAAAACTTATGAAAGAAGTTCTTTGTTTGTTTGTTTGAATTGGTAGTGTCTGGTAAGTATTAATATCTGGTAACTGTCACATAGAAGACATTTTTTGAGCAGCATAAAATAAAAAACTAGTCTGTTAACATAATCACTTTTAAAAATATTAATTGAAGTAAATTACCATAAGATAAATTAACCACTTTAAAATCAACGATTCAATAGTATAGTATATTATACTATTTTATCAATAGTATATTCACTATGTTGCACACGACTACTTTTAGTTCCCAAATATGTTTATTACTTCAAAAAGAGTTAGCTATCACTTGTCACCAGGTGGAGCCTAAGATTTCCCTAAGCGAACGCAGTATGACCCATGGAATAGGTTTCAGTTTCAATACCTCTCTTTAAAGAAGAATAATTTTCAGTATGGATCAATGAGAGGCACAAAAAAAGGTTTATTAGACAGAATTAATGAAGTACACACTCAGAACAGCGTGTGGGCCCTCAACAGAGAGGTACATTATGGTCTTGTTACCGGTTTTGGGGGTCCCTCGGAGATTCTTTCCACGTTCTCGGTGTCCTGAAAAAAAGATTTGGGCAAGACACACAAAATGGTGGCAAGAATTTACATTTATTAAAAGTAGGATAAAAGTATGCTCTTCACAGTTAAGAGTGGGATGTAGGAAAAGGTTACAGTGGGAGCTGGACAGACCAGCTGAGCAAGTGGCTGTGATCTGTCAGTCATGGAGACCAAGAACACAGGTCACAAACTGTCCACCTGGGACCAATCAGAAAACATTATCTTCAATTCTTCATTTACATTTGGTGTGAAACCAAACACCCTTTTAATATGACAGCCTCGGTCTGAAGTCAGGCAAAGAGTTGGAGGTACAAAAAACCTGCACCATTAACCTTTTCCATTCATTCCCAAATCACCTTTCAAAATGAGTTATTTGACTAACAATTAGATTCTTTGTATAATGTATTTCAAAATACTCAATAAATCAAATTTCCAAGTGAAAAAATTAATGCATTACAATTTTATGGTATTTATTGTAATACTGTGAAACGGTCTAACATATAAAAGCTTACTTACTACAACATATAGCCAAGACAGCAAGTTTGAGGATCAGTGGATTTCAGTTTACATTCCAGGTTTACCATTTCAGATTACTGGTTTAAACAAGTTACTAATCAATCATTTAAACAAAAGAAACACAAAAAGAAAAGAAAAGAGACTACTTTGTATATAGTTTTTATAACTTACCCAGTTACTTGATTTTTTCCTCTCACAGGACCGTGCACAAAATCTGAATGAAAGACGAGCCACCACTACCACCCTCACAGTGGACATCCTAGATGGAGATGACTTGGGCCCTATGTTTCTTCCTTGTTTCCTTGTGCCAAGCACTCGTGATTGTCGTCCACTCACCTATCAAGCTGCCATACCTGAGTTGAGAACTCCGGTAAATATATTCTCATCATTTCCCTTTCCTTTAAACTACTTTAAATCTCACTGGATCCTGTAGAAATACGTTGCAGGCATTTTAATTGATAATAACAAAATTAATTAGACAAAAGTTAAAACATTAACAAAATGGTGGCTCAAACTATTTTCAGAGATTATCAGTAAATTTTTGTCATAATCCATAATTACATCACTTGCAAAGTAGAAATATATCATGGAGCAACAATCCCTTTGATGCTGATGGTTTTAATTGTATTTCTCGCAGTTAATCACAGAAGAGTTCAGTTGCTATATACTCTGGAAAACTCCAAGAAGTAACCTTTGCATTTACCAAAATTCACATATATAAAGAAAATTCAAAATCAGAGGACACACAGGTTAACAGGATAGCTTTCAGTCAATTATAGTTCAGAAATATATTGAAGATTATGCTTAACTGTTCAGAATTAGGAGCTAACAAATCCAGAATACAAATATCCATCTTTAAAGATACATTTTAAAGAGGTATCATGAATACATATTTTCTGCATTCAATTTTGAATTTTAAAAAATTCTAACAGAGCTGTAAATTCCTGTGAGTATGGAATTCACATCTTGGTTCAATCTAGATGATAGATATGCATACCTAAGAATAAAGAATTGTAAAGCAAACAGGTATCTGCTGAGACAAAAATAGCAACTTCTCTCCTAAAAGTGAAGAATATATAAAACTCTGTTTTGGAAAAGTCAAATTCCTAGGACTCAGCTATTAGACTAGTTGTTTTTTTTTTTTTTTTTTTTTCCTATAAAGTATTCAGGTCTTTCTGTTTCCAGTTTCACTCCTAATGTCAGAATTTGTTAAGAAATATTTGAATTTTTTTTCTCAAAACGTGTGAAAGATGGTTTTCAGTGTTCTCCCTTTATTTTGAGATTTTGAAAAATAAGACATAAATGTCTATTCTTAATTGTATAATTATGTAATATTTTATTCACTTCAAAGAGCCTTGTTCAATGTTATATGTGTAGATTTTATTCATAGCAGATCTTTGACATCTGAAAATCACTTTGTGTCTAGTAGCATAAATGATAGCTAATTCAGTTTGATTTGCATGAACATAAAAAGCTGGAGGAAAAAAACACATCATTACAAATCTAATGATATGCATTGATGAATGAAGATAATAATATGCATTATTGGTTAAATGAAGTGATTTTAAAGACAAAAAGGCTAACTTGTCTGGACAAATAGATCTATATTACCCAACTTCATGTCATGGTCTTACTTTGTTGAATCCCAGTAAGAAAATTGTTAACTTTAAACTTTTCTTTCTTTTATTCAAGGGGGACAGGTAATACATACATCTTTGGTATTATTTAATGTTTCTGAGTTAAACATGTACTTAGTATACCTATGAGACCTTGATAGAAAGAATCTGTTATAATCACAATAGTTGAATGAGTTAGTCTGACTACTATTTAATTGTACTTGGTGTACTTAGAAAAGTAAAGAAACATTGAGGCTCTATGTAAGAGTCAGTATATTGACTTAATTTTATATAACATCATTAAGAATTATTTTCTGTTTCAGGTTACTGACTGAGCATTTTTCTCATTCTTATGGTATTTGGGATACAATACAAATTATAGTAACGGGTAACTATATAGAATGTCCAGCTTTTGTGGAACTGGAAACTGTGTTAAACTCTGCACAACATCAACTGGTTGAATATATACAATACTTTTTTGTTATTGTTTTTGTTTTCTGTAGTACTAGGGATTGAACATAGGTCCTTCCTATTGAGCTAGATCACTAGTCCTTTATCTTTTATTTTGAGACTATTTCTTAGGCCTCTAAACTCCATAGGGGGGACTCAGACTCATAATCCTCCTGCCTCATTATTCCAGAGTACTGGGATTGCAGGCATGTGCCACCAAGCCTGGCTGCAAGAATTCTTTTGCAGAGGTGATGCTACTAAGCAAATTTTACAAATGAGTTCTGGGAAGAAGAGAGTTTATATAACTTCTCATGATCATACAGCTAATAAATGAATAAATAAATCTTAAGAACTAAAATTTACTTCAGAGCTAAGAAAGTAAATAGTTCACCATTTTTTAAAGTCTGACTTTATAACAGTTAGCAGATTCATTTTCAGAGCCTGAGTTAAGTTGGAGATTACTTCTGCAAATGTATCCTGTAATGATTGGTGTGCCTTTGAGTCATCCTCTCTGTTGCTGTACTGCAATTTTCGTATTTTGATTATTAGTACCTAAGGAAAAACTAGTCCAAGGATAAAAGTTATTCAGTTTTCAATTAGCAAAAACATTCCAATGGGATATATTAATGATTCTAACATAAGAATGATGGCACCCAGTCAAGACATTCCATAAGTATTTACTCCCAAGTGAAATAGTGTTTAAAGTAGAACCATAATGGATCCTCAACATGAGGATTCTTGATGATAATAAAAAGAGGTTTTCAGGTAGGGTTCAATGACCAGTTGCCTAAGCAAGTATATTTGTGTTAGCCTTAAAAACTATGTTTCTAAGTTAAATTTTTTGCTAAAATTTCAGAATGACCAATCTTCATTCTCATCATCATTTTTAAAAGATTCAGTTATTGCTTAACATTCTATGAAACAGATGATTCTAGTTTTATGTATTCAAATAAAAATGACAAATGTACATTCATTGAGTAATATTTTTATTCCCATGTAGAAAAAAATGTAACATGTTTACTTGTAAATCTAGGCATTTATTTTGACTAGACTTTGTGGCAACATACCAAAGCTTAGTAGCTTCAAACTATAATCATTTAATTTTTTTCTATACAACTGTGATTTGGCAGGAGTTCAGGGAACATCTTATCTTTTCTTCAAGTAGCAACAACTGGTTGCCTTAATTTATCACCGAGTACCACTTTCAGGATTGTTAATTTAGAAGGTGAGCAAGTTGAATCTGGTTGTTGGCTGGTGTTCACTCAGGGCTTAGTGTCTCATAGACTGTTTGCATTGCTCACAGCAAGACAGTGGGTTTGAAACCAAGCTTCCTAAGAAAAGAAGGCAGAATGTGTTATGAAGTAGCTTTGGATTTGACTACATCACTTTTGATGTAGTCAAGCCTCTGCTTTCTTCAAGGGGTAGAAATCTTCTACATCTGTCTATTGGAAGAAGATCCAGGTCCCATAAAAAAAAAAAAAAAAAAAAGTTTATAAAAAGGTAATTTTATTGTGGCAATCTTTGAAAAGTAAAGTCAGCACTAATACTTGTATCAAGTTTTCATGAACGTTTCTATATCATTATTTTCAATGTATTTTAAACTTCTGGTGGCTCAAATTGGAGATTGTTTCTGAATTTCACATTCAAGTTGCTGTGTTTATGTATATCCCTCCATTCTTTTTTTTTCTTTTCTTATTTTCCTCTATATAGTCTGTTAAAATTTCAGAATATTTCCGTAAGTAACATCTTGCTATTTAAAGTGAGAACACTAACCATTTATGTCAACTAAACAGGACATGCTGACTCTAATTGCATACTTAGAATCTTTCCTCGAACTAATTCTTCAAATTTTGAAAGCTTTGACACTTGCTCACCTTCTGTGTTTATGTGAAATTTTCTACCAGTTACCTCGGTGGTATTCTTAACTTCACTATAATCCATGCAGAATTTATCAGATCTGAAAAAAAAAAAATGTAAAAAGTAGTCTGCTACAGTGCTTTACTCATGAATTGGGATATAATAAAATCCTTTTTATTAAAATTTTAATGAACATGTGTTTAGTGATAAATTTCCATAAATGTGGACTACATATAGATTTTCTAGTACTGAAAACCCTAAAACAAAATTTAATAACTTCATAGATATTAAGATTAATAATATAATGACCATATAAATGGATAAATCTGTTGTTCCAAAGGTATTAAGCAATTAGAAGTCCTCTGTTAGATATTTATTGTCAATTTGATAAATTTCTACTGGAAGCTAATATATGCCAAAATTTATACTAATGGAATGGCCTAGGTAACTAGCATGAGAAAAAATATTATCATGTAAATTTATTTTCAGGTTCTTAAGCAAAACTGTTATTATGTCTATGAAAGTTAGATATTATTAGCATTAGGAAAAAAATCTGTAGACTTTTGAGTATTGAATACCATGGCTCCAAATTTTCTCTATTTTCTAATGAAGGAGTGACCAAGACATATTTTTACATTTTTTACATTTTTATATATGTTTTAAAAGTACAGTGATAGTATACATTTCATTGTTTATTTGGTTAGTTGGCTATTTTTTGCAATCATTTATCCCTAAATAGAAACACTATGACATATTGACAAATTTATCTATGTGTACTCTATATACCTTTCTTGAATGACTCTACCACATGATTTTTGGTCCTTCAACATTAGCTCCCCAGGAGGCATAGAAATCTTTTTCCCTCCTTCCATTTAAAATCTGGTGGTTTGGTTTATATTGAAGTGTCCCTCTAACACTTCATGCCATCATAGGTGGGCATTTGGGGAGGTGATTGAATCGTGTGGGTGCTATACTCATGGGTTAATTAGTGCACTAATGAGTTATACCTAAATGTGTTATTAGGAGACCCATTGGTCCCGTTCAGAAGAGGCAGATTGCTGGGGCCTAGCCTGGAAGAGTTTATCTTTTTTCCTCTTTCTCTCTTTACTGTCTCTCCTTTGTATCCCCCATTCCCTGAGCAACTCTCCTCTGTCAGGCTGTCTATGCACTAAGTGAGCAAAAATAAACTTCTCCTTCTTCAACTTGCGGGTGTTGAATATTTTGTCCCATTGACGAAGAAAACAACTACAACCTCTTGGATTAGATACAATAATTTGTAGTCACAAATACTTGCACTAGAGTCTTTGTCATAAAGAAGTCTAGTTTAAATATAACCTTGAAAGATAGTTATTCTGATTTATTTATAGTGCTCTCTCCCTTTAAAGAAACTTTGTCATTTATTAGAGGAATGGTCGTGATTTATAATGATCTACATTTATAATTTCTT